GGCTCCATGGGGGCCATTTTCATCATGCTGAAATCCGCCCTGGGCGCCGGGCTCCTCAACTTCCCGTGGGCCTTCGAGAAGGCCGGGGGCATCCGCAGCGCCGTTACCGTGGAGCTGGTAGGCATTTATCGTTATATGAATATATATGATGATAGGAAGATATCTGTACTGCTAGATAGGCTCAGCTTAATGCACTGCTGGACTCTGGAAGAGATCTCAAAAGTTGATGCAGAAACTTTCTTTTTAAAGTAACTTTTTATGTTTATTTTCATTGGAAGTTTGTTGCAGGGGAGATGCATCTTATCTTCTGAGGGCTGAGGTCCACTGAGATCAATTAAGGAGATAGTGATCTGTTCCAGCTGACAGGAGAGGCCCTGTTAGACCTGACCTCAGACCCTCTTCAGATTCACTTCATTCTGTGTGACTTTCCTTCTGTTGCTCGCCTCCTTTCTCCAGCCTGTCACTCACTCCACTGCAATATTAAAATAATTTAGGGGATTATTATTTAGCACTCAACCTGTATTGTCTCTTGTGCTGAAACCAGAGGTTATAGTGTGTAACCTTTTCACCACACTTGGTCGTCGCTTTGACCCTGAGAATGACTGGAGTCTCTGTTTGTGTGTAAAGTTCTCAGACTCACCACAAATCCCAGCAGCAGTTTTTTGCTGCTGCACTGGGGGAATGGGAAAACTCAACCAGACAAGCAAACCATGCATTGTTGTTTTCAGTTCTTTTTGTGTAACTCTACAGATGAAACCACTGTGCAAGAGTACGGTAAAAAGAATTCTCCTGGTGTCATTGCCTGCTCTAGTTGCCCTCCTTTCTAACGGTTACTGGATAAATCACCAATCATCAGGCAGAGGGCACACCCCATTCTGTTTTTTTTTTTTTTTTAATTCCTTTTCTGTTTTAAAAGTGTTGAATTGATCTGCTTCTATACTGCTCCTGCCTCATCTTTGTCTCCCTGCAGACGTTGGACAGTAAGGCTTGAATATAATGTGAATTGTCCTCTAAAGTGTGATTTTTCTTTGCTCGTCGGCTGTTTAAAAAAAAAATGAAATTAAAATTATCTCCTTTGTCTACCAAAACTTGAGACAACTCTATCACAATTGAAATGTTTTTTAGTAGTTTAAGCTGCATTGAATGATCTTTGGCCACAAGGAGGCAGAAAAATATCAAAACAAGCTGGCATATGCAGTATCATGAGCACAAACATTTACCTAATTACATGTAGCCACTGTATCATTGGTGTAGTGTCCAATGTTCAATCAACTTTTAGCTCTTTTATGTCTTTGCAGGTAAATGTTTGGTTGGCTTGTAGCTAGCTCTGTCTGTCTACTGTTTGGTTCTGGACCAGGTTGTGTACAGTAGATTTACAGTTGTCTTTGGGTAGTTTAATGAGAGTGCTGAGACTGAACCATACAATGAAAATGTTTGTTTATTTATTTTTGATCAAATTTGATATAAAAAATGATTTGGACTCAATTTCAATACTTTTTTCAATTATGGTTAATCGACCTGTATAACCTTTTAGCTTAGCTTGTACAGGTTTTAGGTATGTGAAGATGAAGATACTCCAGGAAATGACAAAACAATGGGCAAAAATACCGATACCACTGGCCGACCATTTCTATAGTTCAGAGGGTTAATAGAGCTTCAGAGTTGCCATACTGCCCCTTAGTTTTACACACAGTGTCCTTGAGCAACCTCCTCCACACTACAGTCTTAACTTTCTGTTATCACACATTTTAGTGCTGGATTATGTTTTTTTAAAATGACTTACTCAATAAGATTCCAAACAATTTGCTGATTAGCTTTGTTTTGTATCCTATTAAACTGAATGTTATTGAGCTATTGTAGCTCAGAAAAAATAAGCTATTTAATCCTTCACTTGGACTTTGCATTGCATTGTATTTGCATTGAAATTGCATTGTACTCTATATATTAATTGATTAATTGAAAAAAATATAAAATTATCCAGATTAACTGATAATTAAAACGCTAAATAAATGAGAAAACAGGATTAAGACACACACTCTTCTGAAATGAATCTTCTACATCTTGATCTGCCCCGCACTGCTCAGTATTTAAAGATTAGTATTCTCTTTATATATTTAATCAATATCAGCCCCGGCTGCCCCTTGGGCACTGTTAAAGCTCTAACATGATTTTCCTTCTATAATCTTCAAAAATGTGCCTGGCAGTGTAATTGGTGTTAAATGCTAAATGCCTGATTCTTAAGTTTTGTCTTTGCTATCCAATTAGGCCTGGGCTCCACATTACACCGCAATGGTTCTAAATACCTGACTGGGCACTTGACAGTAGCTTTAGAGCTTAATTGGGTCGTGGACTTTTGTAGTTTGTGTCCAATCTTTTACTTTCCCAGGTGTTTTTCCCCTCAGATCTTCCAGAGACCATATTTGCATAATTGCTGTCATTAGAATGTCCATGTTATAACTTCAGACTTATAGCTGTTCAGCAGCGATCTATAATCTCCTCCTCTCTCCAGGTTGTGTAGCTGGTTCTTATTGTTATTGAGGAAACACTTTATCTTCCACTCCTCTCATTAGAGTTCAGTAACTCACTGTTTCTGTCAGCACATTAACCCAGAAGACACTGACAGGGTTCCCACTGCGTCCTAGTTTTCCAGTCATGGAAACACCTGAAAATTTATTAAAATGACCAAATATCCTGGGAATTATCTATGTTGTCCTGGAAAATTTGTTTGAGCAAGTGCTGTCCTTTATAGGAACCCTGACTGTCATTAACCCTGATACATAGCGAGGATGGAGGGGTACCCTTCCGGGCTGTGAAGGCGAGTGCTTGGCCTATCTCTAAGGGGTTTAAACATTTTAACTGGAAAGTTTAGGACGCTCACAAATGACCTCCTCTTCCCTTTGATGTTATGTCATAGCAGCTGTAGAAAATACAAGCCGGAATGGGATAATATGGTGAAGTTAGCCCTGTCAGTTCTGTCCCAGGCCTCCAGCATACAGAGCAAGTATATGTGAGGAGGACACACGGCTACATAAAAGAGATAAACTGTATATTTATTGTTTGATTTTATATCCCCAAAGGGAGGCCTTTCAATAGTTCCTCTCCTTATTAGTTTTCCTTTTTCACTATCTTTTCATTAAATAGGCTTGTTCTACGGCTTTACAGACTGAAAATGACACACAACCATCCAGGCATTCAGTAGTATTTGTGTCGTTTGTGTTGTTAAAGCTGCAGTAGGTAACTTTTATAAAATTAACCTTTTCTCATATTTTCAGAAGTTTTCAATATATCCTGACAGTAGAACATGAGACAGATAATCTGTGAGAAAATCAGGTTCCTGAAATAATCTGGCTCCTCCTAGAGCTACTAATGGCATTTGAAAGAATCTACCGGGGCTAAATGAAAACAATCAGTGCCGAGAAAGATGCTTTGGGTTGGAGGCCTGAAGATATGAGAAAAATAGTCGATTGTTAAGTCTCATTTCCAGGGCGCCAAAAATACTGACGCTTTGGGTCCCTGGGAAATGAGACTCAACAATCGACTATTTTTCTCATCTCTGATTGGTTGTTTTCATTCGGGCCCAGTGGATTCTTCTAAATATCATTAGGCGCACTAGGAGGAGCCAGAGGAACCAGATTTTTTTTTTTTTTTTTTCACAGATTATCTGTCATGTACTACTGTCAGGATATAGTGAAAGTTTCAGCAAATATGATTTGATTTTTTATAAAGTTAACTACTGCAGCTTTAATCAGAACTGGATGCCTTACATTTAAATAAGCAATAACAAAAATATGTGTAGACCAGACCAGGCTGCTGAAAATGTACAAAATGAATGTAAAAACATTATACAGGCACACAACTAATTACTATTATTGAGGGCAGTGGTTCCCAACATAGGGGTCGGGACCTGCAAAGGGGTCAAAAGATAATTTCTGGAGGTCGCCAAATGGTTGCAGAAAATAAAATAACATATTGTGGCAAGCAGCACGGAATGACAGACAGGAGCAGCTCTCACCCCCTTTAATGACATTCAACACAGGGGAAAAGAACCCTATGTACTACATACCCTAACCCTTGTTAACAGGCTCAGTTATTATTGTGCTTTTAGGCCTAAAGCAGACATATTGACTGTGAAGGTGTCATTATTTCAATAAATCAGAAAGCATGAATTAATTGTTCTGTCTGTGGGCAAAGCAATGGTCTT